TAATATAGTCAAATTACTTGATCTTTCTTGTGACATGGTTGAATGCAAATAAGATTTTATTAATTTTAACATTGAAAATCTTCTTTCGACTAAAGCTACAATAACATGAATAATTAATAGTATTTTATAAGCTATCCATGCATTTGGAAAAAAAATTCATTTTTTTTTATAAAATCTAGTACCTCAAATGTGTTTTAATTTTCACATTTATAATTTCATTTAAAACTTTTAATTTTAAAAATAAAACTATACCATTAATACCAAAAAACATGTCATGTTTTAGAAAGTTTTCAAGTTTTAAATAATTTTTCTTCAAATTATCATCGTCAAGCAATTTTAATTTTTCTACATTATAAAGGAAACCAAAATTATCTTCATATATTTTAAATTGTTTAAATCTGCTTTGAAGTGAGGCAATGGCATGATCAACTAAATATGTAAAATAATTTATTCTAAAAGATTATTTGGCGAGACAATTTCATTTCTTTATTTTCATTCTCATCAAATTATTTTTTACGGACAATTTCATTTCTTTATTTTCATTCTCATCAAATTGTTTTTTCTCTTTATTTTATGTTTTTTTACAAAATTTTAGTTCTATACTCCTTTGCTCTATAATCTCTTTAACGAAATCATAGAAGATGTAAACCCATTTTCTCTATAGTTTTCAAAAAAAAAAAAAAGACATTTAAGTAATCTTTTGCAACAACAATATCCATATTTTTAGATTGTAAATATTTAGTAACCATATTAACGACGAAACAATATATCATAGCAAATAATCATGCATAATAGAAATTCAAAATTTTCAATCTCATATGTTGCTAAAGAAATAGCTTCACTTCTTGTTTTAGGATCTTCACTAGTTTCTGCTAATTGAGATAAAGCATCTCTTATTTGTGGAGCTTGAAATTTTATTGCTTTAGCACTTTCGACATGACTTGCCCAACGTGTTTGTGATAATGACTTAAATGTCAAATTAAAAATATGATCTTGCAAGATTTTTCATCGTTTTTTAGAAGAAGCAAAAAATGAGAATATGCGTTATGTCACTCTAAAAAATGTATTAGCACATGAATTAGCCATATAATAAAGAACTAAATTAAGATTATGTCAACCATATGGTATGTAAAATGCTCCAGAATTTATATTTAATAATCTTTTTTACATGCCTTGATGTTTACCTTTCATATTAGACCCATTATCATATCCTTATCTTCTCTTTTTGTTGGACTTATTGAAATACCTACACATCTTAATATAAGAGATATTTGTTCTTAATGACTTGTATGTGGGGTACAATCAAGTATAACTGAAAAATATTTTGATTCTTTAATTTTTTTTAATAATGGCACGGCTAAAGTATTTATCAACTCATTTTGTATATTATGACCAAGATAATAGTTATGGATTTCTCCGTTTTCAATACGTCTAAAGTGTTCTTGCATTATTGGATCAAACTCGAAATCATTTCAATGAAACTCAAAAAATGTCCATTATTTTCTTGATAAATCTTTCCATTTGCACCACAAAATACCAAATTAGTTTTTGAAATATTTTTTACGGTAGCAATAATTCTTAATAGTACATTCTTCCATTGCTCTTTCTCTTTATTTATTTTCCCTTGTAAACATTTATCAATCGTCTTATTTTTAAGCAATCTCATCTCAACATCAACCCAAATTTTCATATTTATAGCATGTTCATTACTAGTTTCATGACGTTTAAGTTTAGCACTCAAGTTTTTTCAATCTCCACACCCTTCATTTGCTAATTGATTTTCTTTTAAACTAAATAATTTATAACAAAAACAAAATACTTTATCTAATTCTTTTGAATATGCTAGCCATTTTCTATCATGTTTTTCTCCATTTGGTAATTTTTGAATGTAATGAATTGTAGAAAAGTGTATATAATTTTCTTTCCTTTGGAAAGTCTAAAACTTATCTAATTTGACGTTTTTCAACTATTAAATCACTTAATCTTGTGTCTAAATTATTCTATTGTGTTAGATCATAAATATTTTTAATAGTTGTTTCATCTTTATCCTTAATATTTTCATTCTTGTCGATTGGAATATCTTCTTCTAAATTTTCATAATATTCTTTTCAAGTATTTGATGCATTTGAATAGTTATCTTTAAAATTTTCTTCTTAATTTTCAATTGATTTTTTATTTAAATCTTCATGTTTTTTCTAGCATCCGGTGTTTTAAAACAATAACAAGTTTATCAAGTGCACCTTTTTGGAATTGAATTAGTTCTTCCATCTTTCTTTTTTATTACGTTTTTCAAATCCAGATTCATACTTTCTAGTAGACAATTTTATTTTTAAAAAATAATTTAGAGCCCTTAATATTATTTTGCTAAAATAATAAAATTATAAAAAGTGTAAGGAACTATAACACCTAATTTACGCTCTTTTGATTTAGCTTTGATACTCTAAACTCTTATATTATTATCCTGCAATCTGCATAAAAATAAAAATAAAATAAATATCATTATAATTATAAACAAAAGCATGATGCAAACGACCCCATAAAATAATATATCGACCCAACTTAATCCCACAACAACATTTTCAATTAAAAATCTTGTCTTGATTAAGACCGACACAATCCAACCCTATAACAAAGAAATAACATTTTCAAGTAAAAATATTTTCTTGATTAAGGAAAGGACAAATATTTAGCATTTGAGAAAAGTATAGACAAACATTGGGTAAAGCACATAAAAAGATTAAAGAAACATTGAGAGAGATTGAGCTTACAAAGAGTGTGAGGACCGAGAAATGGGTCTTGTAAGAGGGAGTAATTGATTTTTGCTTAAAGCTCCTAGAGTTAGAGAATAAAGATACGAAAATATGAAATCTAGCTTTGTTAGAGTATTAAAGAGTAAAGATATGAAATCGGCTTTGTTATTATGAAATTTGGCTTCACAACGCAAAACCCTAGTACTTAATAGGCTTTGCTAATTTTTTTAGACCCCTCTTTTTAGGGAACCTAGGCATAGGCCTTAAGACGACCTTGTTCGTTGGATCGGCTCCTTACTCTTCTCAAGTCTGAATTTGTTATGAATAATTTAGGGACATTACATTATTTATTCGGTATTGAGGTTAACAAGAATGTTAATGGTCTTCTTTTATCTCAATCCAAGTATGTTGAGGATTTGCTTTCTCGTGCTTCTATAAGAGATTCAAAACTTATTGCTACTTCAACTACTCTTAAGTGTTCTTTGTTCATTTCGTATGGGTCTCCTTTTAAGGATCCAACACTATTTTGAAGCATTGTTGGTGTTCTTCAATATCTTACATTCGTTCTTGCGAGTTAAAAGGATCAAACTCTACAAAGGTACTTCACATTTTAGCTTACAACTAGATTTTTGCCGCGCTATGCTATGGATTAGAAAGAACATGTAAAATTATTTTAGTTTGAAGATTTATGCTATACTATGAATCCACCAAAATATAATAATTATTTTTAAAATTTTGCATTTGACTGATTATTTGTTGTATTTTTCAAAAATTTTCTAAAAAAAAAAGATTTATTCTTATTTATTCTATTCTTACCTAAAACTTATGATAATCTAAAAATAAAATCTAAAACTCCATGGATTTATAACTAAAAATTTATTTTGTAAATTATTTTTTTCAAAAAAATCTAATACAAATTCTCCAAAAAAATAATTTTAATATTTAGATTATATATATATATATATATATATATATATATATATATATATATATATATATATGCTATTATCATTTAAAAATTCTAAGAGTCCATCATATAAATTATATAAATTTATTTTTTTTAAAAATAATCATGCTGTAAAATTTATTTAAAAATCCATACATAGGGAACAATAATTCATGTTTATCAATAAATAATATTTAAATAAAATAAATATTAATTTGATGAAAATCTTAATAATAAATGACAAATTGAAGAAATCAATTCTTAACAACAATAGTACTATAATGTAAAATGTATCTTTATTTTAAAATATAAAAACGTATCATATAGATATATTTATTTCATTTGGTAGATGTGAATATAGTACTATAATGACGCTCAAATTGCGGGGATAATGGAAAACGTATTTTGCATAAAATCCGTATCTATACGAGGAAGTTTTACAGAATATGTTCTCCATGTAGGAACTCTGTATTATAGAAAACGATAACATTTTGTAATCAAAGACCGATTGTATTATGTGAATATGTATGAAGATTGACCTAAGGTTGAGGCAGTCACTTCCCCAAATTCTTTAGTTTGAAAGGTCCAAAGTTTCTGGTATAAATTGCTTAACATTGCTCACACCAAAGACGGTATGTATAGTTGTGCGATTTGGAGAACAGAGAAGAGGTTAGGGAGTTGCAGTAAAGAGGAGCAGAGGTAGTCTCTAAGGTGGAGAAGGAGGAATTTGCTGCTGTGATGGTTTCCATAGACAATAAGGATGACGGCACAGAAAAGAAAAGAAAAAAATAAGAACCCTATAATCGTTAAGAACAGTGGAATCTGTGCTTATATAGGAACATCATATATAAGACTTCATTTTGTAATCCAATAGAATCAAGACAATATAAACGCACCCACAAGCCTCTGAAATTCTCAACGGAAGAAACACATGGTTAACACCACTCAATGATCAATATAATTTATTACCAAATAGAAATGTTTAGAGAACAAGTTGGCAGGCATCAAATTGAAGGCTCAGACTCTTCCTCCCTGCCGCTTCTGTCGTGCAATATCTTCTACTCCAAGATGGATAGCACCAGTGCAAAACAATTGGGTTCCACTCACAATTATCGTCACAACTTCTAGAGTACGCTGTTTATCAACATAGCATAAGAAAAATCAGTGTACTGTTTATTGATGGTTTTTACATCACAGAAGAACGAACATACCAAGATTGAATCTGTCCAGCCTATGTTGATCTCTTTGCATGCGAATCTGCAACGCACATTGTGAAAAGGCTTGGTAAATTTGCATGAACCAACATGAAATTTGATGTGAAGTTCGAAGTAAAACAAGGAAAGAGCATAAAAACCAACCCCAAGGCTAGAAGGGTGAGTGATAATGATGCTAGAGAAGACATGTATGCTGCGTGTAAGTTTGGAGAATTCCAGTGGAAAACGTTGCTGAGTCCTGTAATAGAGGAGGTGAAGCCCACAACGCCAGCAAGGAGGGAGAGAATGATGAAAAAACCCGTTGCCATATTTCCCATTGGGAAGTATATTGGAAATATGCGAGCTGGAATCGATAAAGTAGCCGCTGCATGTATATTCACACAAGTAAAGCATAAGTTAGTAATTGCTTCACGAATTCGATCCTTACATGCAAAAAAATATCTGCCAGAATTTGGCTATCTTAATCACCTGTTTCACGAGATCTTATGATCCCGTGATTTATAGCCCATGAACCGATTACTATCATGAGAAAATACAGCCCCATATTGAGGATTAAGAGCATGAAGGCAGCAGATTTGGTCATGGCCTTTTATGGAAGCTCGAAAAACAGGAAGAGAAAATCGGTGACCCTTGTTATGCTAATTAAGAAGAGAGCTATATATATGCAAAGAACCGATCATTGCTTATACAGAAATTTTATTAAACAATTGTTGGTGTTGCCAGATTGGTATATCTTACTTTACTTTCGTTGTGAGATGCGTTGTCTTGATTTTGAAGAAATGCCTTCAATTCCTTGCCCTTAGTCCTTACCATGGGCTTGACTGATTGAAGGGGAAGGAATCAACCTGAGTCTTGAAGCAGGGCTTGTCTGCCTTTGCTTTTGGCTTGGAACAATAAACTTTTCCTCGTTGGCGGATAAACAAGGAATAAAGTTGCCTAGAATCCTGTATCTGGCTACTAAAATTAAAAGGGATGGTATGTCACCAGCTATTAGCTTCATTCGCTTTTCCTTTCTTTTCTCTCGTTAGGTTGATGGATAGAGAGATGAAAATGAGAAAAATAAGAGAAGTGAAGAACAAAGCAGATATTGGGAATGGTCCTGACAAAACCACCAGGACAGAACCGCATAACAGTCATCAAATAGTGCCTTACATTGTCCGAAAGAATTGTTCATGGATGATGAAAAATGATGGTGGAAAAAAAATAGAAAGAAAACAACTCTAAAAGGTCAAAACCGTCCATGATGTCCATGATCTAAAAAAGAAGCTAACTTATTCGTTTTATATTCAGCTGGATATCCTTCATCTGATAAACCACATTACTATGGCTCACACCTAAAGAAGAAGGAATGCATGCTATAGCAGATACTTATAAATGGTTCATCTCTCTTCTGTACTGTGCCTGCATCGAGCCAAATTGTTCAATTGGAAGCAAGGGAAAGAATTGAGACAATTTTTGCCATAGCATTAAGCCATCTCCTGGATTTCTCTTTGGCAACCAGCATGAAGCAAAAGAAAAACCAACTTATCATGTAGATGCAGATAATTATAGATCTTATCATCCCATAGATATGATATTTGATACTTCCACCACAAGGCGAAGGAAATAAATCAAGAACTCAATGACACAGTAGCAAGTAAAACAGCCCATAATTTGCAAATAGTTGCAGAAAAAGGTTCAAGACGTCAATGGTTCGAACAACAGAAAAAAAATAACCATTACTTGAAACTAATCATGAAGACCATTTTTATCCACAGGATGTCTACAATCTAGGAGGTTATTTTACAATATTCAGGAAATGTATTTACGAGGATCTTTCCAGAAGAAATAAGAGAGAAGTTTCTGTGTGCAGGCCAGCTAGATCCAAGTGATGCTCCTGAGTCTCTTTAGGCTATCTTCAACCAACAAATATCAGACATTCAAAGACAGCTTCTGAGCAGCAAGAGCTTCAGCCTCGAGTGTTGGCTCCCACAAAACTGTAGTTTCAGCTAGTAGCGAGGTCACGACATAAGGGTCCATGTTTGAGGCCGGACGTCTATCCTCCAAGTAACCTAATAGCCAAAGACATAATAATAAAAAATAAAAATAAAATAAAAAAATAAAAATAAAAAAACAGGATCAGGAAATTGATCAACAATGCAGATGTTGATTCAAGCGACAGATCCAAAGTACAGAACAATAATATTATAAAAAATAGGAAATAACTCCAGAGTAGGGGAAGCTACTGATTCCTGTGCATTTATTTTAATCTATCCATTCATCAAAAATGGCCACAGGATTTACAACACTTGTGGACAAAGAAGGGAACTCCTAATTAAGTCTCAAGCTCTTGTGACAATATATCTAACTAACATGAAACTTGAAAGGAAAACGAATAAATCTATCAAGTGGAACAAGATGTTTATCCTAGTTATTGTGGCATCATTTAAATTAATTGAAGTCAAATTACTCTATTTGGAAAATCCATTGGTCTTGTTGTTATGCAAATATGACTAGAGTTTTAAATCTAATTCTCACTTAACGCAATCACTTAAAAGGAGTCTTTCATGAAATTAGCTTATTGGGCTGTCTATATAGTACCTTTTCCTTGCTTCTCAGTTTCACGTCCCACCCGGATGGAGCAACCCCGATTGGCCACTCCCTGCACATTAACAATTGAAAAACTAATTAGCACTTTGTGGCAAAGAAAACTTCCCTTCTGATTTATGTGTTTTTCAGTTCTTCAGAATTTCATATATCTTAAGAGCATACCCAAGAAAATGTGCTAATGCTTGCTGTTTCATGCTTTCCTGTCAACCTTCTCTCATTTCCTTCACCGTAGGCACTGATGTGCTCCGTATGCCGAAGAGACAGATTTAAGATTGCCTTCTTTATTGCTTCATAGCCTCCTTCCTCCCTCATGGTCTTCGTGCTGTAAGACAGATAAGAGTATATGACTATCAGTATTCTCTTACATTTCATATGCCTTGGCACTATAAAAGCATTGATATTCAAGATAAAAGGTTAATGCTATTACCTATAATTGGTGTGGCATCCTGCACCATTCCAATCACCCTATCGACACAGAGAAAGATCATATGCATTCGTATTATTAAATAGAGCTGTAAAACTGTTCTCTGAAAATCATAATAAAACTAAATGAGAATATGTATTACCTCTATTGGTTTTGGATCGAGTGAGAGCACAACGCCAGCTTGTTCAGTGATTCTCTGTCAAAACAAAGGATAAGAAAAACATAAAGTACTTCTAATGTTAAAACACACTCAGATCCTCCCCCATAACCATCTTCAGTTTTAACCCCCTCCAATTTAGGGTATTCCATAACATGTCGGTATCATAAATGATGGATACCTTAAAGTGCAGCACGAAACTAGTTGAAGGATGAAGGAAGAAGAGGGCAAGTTTATGAAGACAACAAGAGCAAATCTTTCACGAGAACACTGATAGGATTACAGAAACTGACTGGAACTTAAGGAGACAATCTGTTATTTCCATCTATGTACTTTCTCCTTAAGAGTTCATTTCTTTTCAATGAAATTATTAATCTGATGGTGAATACCTCTAGAATGTATCTTGAAATCCAGATATGATCTCCAGCATCAATGCCCACACTGGGACCCACCTGATACTCCCACTGCATAGCAACAAAACATTCATATCTAGTGATTAAAGAGAGTTACATTATAATGCTAAATCATTGAGCTGCGGAAGATAGGCAAATGCTATGGCAAGAGGCAAACCTGGCCTGGCATAACCTCCCCATTGGTGCCACTAATGTTAATTCCAGCATATAAACAAGCCTTGTAATGTGCATCTGATATATCACGACCAAAAGACTTGTCAGCCCCAGCTCCACAATAATAAGGACCCTGAAATAAACAGCAAATCACCAATGTACATTAAAAATCCATGTCATATAAAGTGATATTAAAAATAAACTGGAATTTTCACAAGCAGACTATCACCTGAGGGCCAGGATAGCCTCCAACAGGCCAGCCCAAAGGCCACTTCACATTTGTTTGAAGTAAGGTGTACTCTTGCTCTATCCCAAACCTAGGTTAAGAGATCACAGAGTATTAGCATATCTAATTCTAACCACATGTTTATCGAAAAGTATACAAACTCTACTTCAAAACCTGTACATGTAACATGTTGATTGTTGAATGTCAAAAGAAAAAAAAAAGACACTAACATAAGGCTATAATGTGATGAAACATTAACAAAAGTAAAACCAAGACAACTTAAAAGGGCATACCATGGAAGTTCATCTACGACCTTCTTGTTATTGAAAATCTCAGCAGCCCGATGGCGTTTGTTTGTAGGGATGGGCTCACCCTGTGGCGTGTATGTATCACACATAACCTTTGTGGAATGGAAAAAACAATGTTAATGATGTGATTTATGTAGTTCAATTTCCCTAAGAATTCAATAACTCAGAACCATAATTACTGGCTACTTGTCTTAAACAACACTCACCAAGATGTTGTTACCTCCACGGAATGGGTCCTTAAAGATTGCCTGGGGACTGGGATAAGATGTTAAGTCAGTACCATTGCTTGATAATTGAAAGAAATACAGAATGTTATCAGCTTTTTCACAAGATCTTACTATAGAATAACCTCGCTATCCTCTCCTGGTGCTTGTCCAGTACTTGATCCATCATAGTTCCACTTGGGAAGCTCAGATGGATGCTCTATAGGCTTCGAAATTGTCTGCAAGCATTGATCCATAGCAATGAAAAAAGGCAAGGGCATGAGAAAATCTAATCCTTAAATGAAAAGACATGCAATTTGTTTGCACTAAATAATATCATTAACATTTTATTACCCTTGACTTGCTACGAAGATCAATGCCAGATCCTCCAATCCTGTATCAAAATGAATAGTATCATGAGTGATCCCAAGTCTGCTTGTTGAAATGTCGAAAGACATCGGTATAAACTTACTGATATATCTAACTTAATATTTACTATTCAAGTGAAACTCAAACTCAACTGTATAACTAAGTTAATATTTACTATTCGAGTGAAACTCAAACTCAACTCGGAAAACATAAACTATCCTAAAACTGATTAATTTTTCTCATATGAAAAAAATATGTTAGCATAGAAGTTTGTACCAGATGTACTCTGCAATGAAATTGTCAGTGTACGGAGTAAGGTCCAAATTTAGAAGATCCTCCACCCTATTGACAGTGCTGTTGTCAGACTTCAGGGCAAACACTCTAAATTTAGCAGAGCTTTTAGCTGTTCCTTTCTTGTTCTGCTTCAAAACTAGAGAACTCCACATCTTAGCAGTCATGGGATTTGCAGGTGCTGAGTTCTTTGCTATTCTCATCTGCCATTGTGAAGAGGGTGCTAGAATCTGTGCCATTTTCACCTAAACCTCCCCGGAAAACCAGAAAAAAATATTACTTACTTACAATTAAACTCAAAAAATGGAAAATCATAAACACAGTAGTCTAGCCAAAGGCTGCAACGATGTCACCGCATGACAGGCAAATCATATTAGAGAAAATCTATTAGCAACAGTCAGAGCCTAAAGATCAAAGTGGATCAAACTTCACAATTGATCAAGACACAAACTCTCTTATGTTACTGTGATTGACATTAAAATGAATCTGATTTATTTGTGGACTCTCCTATCAAATTTTCACTTTAGTTATAACATATGCCAGAAGATTTCAATTCCCACTTTCAGAATGATCCAACAAACGTTCCTTTACTTAACTTCTGGTGTGCTGCAATATTGTCATTAAAGTCAGCTCTAAAACAACATAACTGAAATAAGGGTAGATCAGTTTTCAGGAATTCAATATGAAATACTGCTTCCCCTAAAAAGAAAAGGAAAAATCAATAAAGTTCAGAACTTTATAGTCGCGTGGCTCACAATCATGTGAAGGGAATAAAGAAAGGGATCCTGTATGATAGTCCACTGGTTATGTCAGATGGTTGGCTTAGTCTCTTGCCATCCCTCATACGTGGACCAGATCATTTAGTAGCATAAAGTTCATATAGCGCATCTATTATTTAAATGACCAAAAGAACCCCAAACAACCTCCCGTTGGTTGGTAGCATCCTAACAAAAAATTACTGTAGCATGAGGAAACTAATACCAATACACCATCGTGGTATTAAAAAAAAAAGTTCTATGAGATGATGGGCTCAAATTCCATCCCATAACAACACTCTTTTCTTAAAAAGAAATCTCAAGATTGAAGAAAGAATGAATGATACGCTCAAACTCTTAGTAAAATTTAGTAACAGAACCTAGGTTTGCATTTCATTGTCCCAAATATCAAGGAGTTGATAGATTTGTGAGAAAAAGCGTGCTTGCCTACTAGCAAAAGTCATCAGGGCATTATAAAAAGTTACCATTGTCAAGGAAAGCGATAAAAAGAGTTGACAGAGAAGTAAACAAGGTACTTAATCACCTGGGAACTGCCTGAAAACGGCTGAACGAGAAACTGGATTATGGGTTTTGCAGCAGACAGCAGTTGCCTTAGCAGAGAGAAAGAGAGGAGGTAGAAGGGAGGAAGAGAGAGGACTGCTTTGGTGCAGAAGAATTATATTATATATATACACATATATCAGTATAAAAATAAAAGGTTTTGATGACCAAAACAAAAAGGTCTCTTGGCTTTTCCCAAGCAGATAGGGGTGTCCTATGAGTGGTGGAAAATAGTCTTTGGGCTCTTTAGTGACACTAAGAGAAGCTTGGACTACATTGAAGTTAATAGAGATAAGGTTCACCATCGATCTATCAGGGATTTCAGCTCTATCTTTCTGCCTCAAACACTCCAGAGAAGTAGACTCCGAATTCAATTAGAATCCATGTAAAGTTAGAAGCAAGATTAAGCTATGCTGATAATAATGAATTAATATAATAATAATAATAGCTAGTAGTAAATATTTCAAGGCTTAGGTACTTTTGGTACGTGATGTGAGCTTTTTTTCGCTTTTTATGAAGGTACAATATATCCCGAGAGGAAGACACATTCTTTTAATAATTTCGATATAACATTAACATAAAACTATTTTAACAGTCTAGTTAATAATTTAAATTTTTAGATTAAAAATATTTTTTAATATGATATTAAAAACTCTTTAATCAAACGGAATTTGAATTATACAATTTTATCCCATTAAATTAAAATTAAAAAAAAAATAAGACTTTTAAAAATACGTTAAAGAATTAATATAAAAACATAAAATAAGTTCTACAAAAATAATATATTCAAATATAAAAATTTATATATTTGATTAAAAAAAGTTAATATCCTTATAACGTAACTATCCCATGTTGATTTTTTTATTTATTTGGTCAGGGAACAACCCTAACGATTGCTTCTGTCTACGGTGTAATGTTAAGATGGGAAAAAGGAACATCAAGGCACCCTATCTACAACTAGCAAATGCCTTAAAAAAAGGGCCAATGCAAATGTAGGAGAGCAAAACGAGTCAGCGGTGGTTTGGCACAGATACATCTGTTCCTGATGGATTCTCTGGTTTGGTTGACATGGCGGAATCTAATTTGGCTGATGGCTGCCAGCTCCTCCTTGTTCTCTAATTATCAACCCCATCAATGCTAGCTTGGGAATGGTGGTTGGCGATTATGACATTTTGTTTTGCACTTTTGGGACCACTGGATTACAGAGAGATCCACATGTTTTAACCATTGATCTCGAATTTTATGCCTTAGATTTATGTCAGCGGCTATCTTTTTGTCTTGTGGCCGCGGTTTAAACCCGATTTCTTAGTTAATTAAGGAGTGGAAAAGCCTGTTTATGTTTGATGCAGAAAGTTTTAACTTTTCTCGTGAGATATTAGACTATAGAAAACATGGAAAAATATGCCCCTGTATGGACCACGGGTTTGTAAAGTTAAGTTGATTTTATCCAATTGGACTAAATTGGGTTAAATTTTTACATGGTTACCGATTAAGAATTTTTTTGAAAATCTTTAAGAAATAAAAAACTTTATTTTCTTTCAAAGAAATTTTTTTTCGAAGATGTTTAAGGATTACCAAAAAGTTAAAAAAAAAAAATTATTACTTTTGAAGATGTTTAACGAATAAAAAAGTTCGAAATTCTCATATAAATTGTTTCTGAAATTTTTTATTCCATTAGAATTTATGAAAATATTTACGAAATTGAAAAATAAATTACGTAGAAAAAAATCAACTTGTTTTAAAAATGTTAAAGGAAAAATTGAATAACTCATCTATTAAAATTTAAAAAAATGTTTAACAAATAAAGCAATCTAATGGCCGAGACATTGAAAAAATATCTTAAACCTTTGGAAAATTTTTATTTTTCATTTCTCATACATTTTGAAAAAAAAATTAATTTATGTGCATTTTGTAATTATTTTTCTATCTTAAAAACTTGTATTTTTTTATATCTTGAAGAATTTCAAAATTTTAAATTTACAAAAAAAAAAAAAAATTCAAGTTATTAGACTTTGTTCAGGGGCAGCCACTTGCCTTTTCTTAGCTAGCGGGCAGCCCGAAAAGCCATCTTATCTTCCTCCTCCTCCTTTTTTTTTTTTTTTTCCTTACCTTCAGTCCTTTTTTTTAATCCGTTTTTCTTCCTTTTTGCTCTTTTTTTTTCCTGATAATTTTAAATTTGTTTAGATCTAACGGTTCTAATTACCCAAATAATTATAGATTTAGATTTATATAGTCTATAATCTATTTTTTTTATCTTTCATATGTGAGATTTTTTGTTATTAGACTTTGTCCATTGTAAATCCGTTCAAAGATATATGATAAATCGAAGTATTAATTTATTATTTTAAGTGACTTTCAAGTAATATGATTGTCAAATCTGTCGGTTAAAGGCATTTTCAAAACATTATCGTAGATTTATTTCTTCCAACAATAGAGCCCGGTAAGTGCGGCCTGTTTCTCCCATTAATAAAGAGTTAAAAGGGAATTCTTGAGTTTGAGACACAATCAATGATAGTCTACAAAAATTAAAATAATAATAATAAAAAAAAAACTCATTTGGAAGTTCATAAATTGGAGAGAATGAAATGCTAATTAGAAGGTCAATGGTTTTTACGTTAGTGAAAACTGTAATAACTTCTAATTATATGTAGCATCAATGAAATTACATTTTCTTATGAAAAAAACTTCTTAAAAAAAAAATCGCAAGTATGTTTAGTTAAAAATGACTTTGAACGTAAATCAAAATTTTGTTACAAAATTGAGTAAATATTTTAATTTAATCAAAAAGTTAATATTTTTAACTTTTAATTTATGAATTCTAACTTATATTATATTTCTTCTTGGAAAAAGTTATTTTGAGTTATTTTTACCAAATATGCTTTTAAAGCCATTTTAACTCATTTTTGTCTTAAACTATTTAGTAAAAAAAAAAAAAATTGGAATTACAAGTCAAAGTCATGTCAAACTGATTATTGAACGTCATGGACCAGATTTTTTTCTAGAAAAAAAAAAACAAATACCATATTTTATGCATTGTAAAGATATAGCCACAAGCACATCGTATTTTTCGTTGTATTATAAACAATCTAAAATAATATATTATTTCACTTAGTTAAGCCCGGCTCCGCTGAATTAAAACAACGTCGTTTTCTTCCAAAAAAAAAAAAAGTGAATTTTTATCAATTTGTCTAACTTTTCATACTTTGTCCTTTGATTTATAATTTTATTCAAATCGGTTCCTTAATTAAATATTTATTACAAATATGTCCCAATATTTTTTATGGTTGGGCTGTGCTGGCCTAATTGTGTTCAGGCCCATACGAATGGGCCTTATGTTAGCCCACCCAGCCCCCCTCTCTTTTCGTGCTTTTTATATAACTTTTTCATTAATTATTTTTTATGCTTTTATTTTTTATTTATTATTTACTCAAAATATATTATTTTTTCATAATTAATGGTTACTTTTTTTTATTTCTATAGACTCAAAACTAAAATTAAACACTCTTATAATATAAATTGGCTTAAAAAAATAATGGCAAGTTTTATTTTTTATTGATAAAATTTAAAAATATTTCTAGTATATGCCTAGGATATATTTAAACTTATATATATATGTGTGTACGTGTTAAATTAAATAAATTTTCACATTTAGTTTTAATTGATTCTTATTTTATGCCTAGATTTTTAATTATTTAAAATATTAAAACAAAAAATTAATGATTATTTTTGTTATAGACTCATTAACTAAAATTAAGCAGTCTTCTAATATAAATTGATTGAGCATATTCTTCTAATATGATTAAAAAATAATTAATTGCATGTTTTCTTTTTTCTTGTTTTGTTGATCATAATAAAAATTATTTATAGAATATATTTAAATTAAATAAATTCTCACTATTAAAGTTACTTAATTTTTTTTTAAT